TATTGTGGTTTTGCTTAGTGTTTATCTGATAGTCATGGTGAGTATTTTTTCATGTTTGTTGGACACTTGTATGTCTTCTTTTGAGATGTGTCTGTTCATGTCCTTTTCTTTTTCTTTTTCTTTTTTTTTTTTTTTTTTTTGAGACAGGGTCTCACCACTCTGTCACCCAGTCTGGAGTGTAGTGGCACAATCATGGCTCACTACAGCCTTAGTCACCCTGGGCTCAGATGATTCTCCCACTTGAGCCTCCTGAGTACCTGAGTCTACAGGTGCACACAACCATGTCTGGCTAATTTTTAAATTTTTTTATAGAGACGAGGTTTTGCCATGTTGCACAGCCTGGTCTTGAACTCCTGGGTTGAAGTGATCCACCTCTCTTAGCTTCCCAAAGTGCGGAGATTACAGGTGTGAGCCATTGTACCTGGCCTCTTTGACTACTTTTTAATGGGATTATTTGTTTTTTTCTCATTGATTTAAGTTCATTATAGATTCTAGATATTAGACAATTCTTGAATACATAGTTTGCAAATATTTTCTCCCATTCTGTAGGTTGTCTGTTTCTTCTGTTGATAGTTTCTTTTGTTGTGCAGAAGATCTTTAGTTTAATTAGGTCCCACTTGTCAATTTTTGTTTTTATTGCGATTACTTTTGAGGACTTAGTAATAAATTCTTTGCCAAGGCTGATGTCTAGAAGGGTATTTCCTAGGTTTCTTTTAGAATTTTTATAGTTGGAGGCCTTTCATTTAAGTCTTTAATCCATCTCAAGTTAATTTTTGTATATGATAATTGCTTGTCCAGTTTCATTCTCTACATATGACTACTTATGCTCTAATATTTAACAGTAGCTTTAAGTGACAAGGATTTTGCATGATATTTGTATTACTAGTGTAGGGAAGTTAGAACACTTAGTCTTGAATCAGAAAATTAAAATATTATATGTATATATTCTTTCTTGAGCTTGTGGGCAGGATGTTACCTTGAAATTTAAAAATATTCTTTTCTGTTTGGAAAAAAAAATCGTAAAGATATATTGCAGTGTAATTGTATTTATGTTATGCATTTTTTATTACTAGTTTACTTATAGGAAAAAAATGAGCTGTAGAAAATAATTTTAAATCTTTGTGAAATTATTCTAAGAGTTAAGCAAGGAAGAATCCAGGGAAGTGAGTGGCTGTTATTTTGATAGAGATAAAAAATTACCGGCTACCATTTATTGAGCCCTTTGATTGTTCCATGTCTTAAATAAGTAATTTATATGCTTTCATTTAATCAACACCTTCATTCAACAAATGTTTATTATGTGCTTACAATGCTGCAGATATTGTTCTAAATGCTGGAGATATAGCAGTAAACCAAACAAGTGGTAGGAGTTGAGCAGACGTGAGGTCTCTAGTCTTGCTCCACTGTTCTATCCACTACAGAGAGTTCCTTCTAAACATTAAATCAGATGGTCTCTTTGCACAAATGCTTTTATTGGCTTCTGGTCTCATTCAGAGTAAGAAACTTTCCTAACAATAGCATTAAAGGTCCTGGAGGATCTTTAGTCTCCCTGTCCTATCCCATTTTCTACCACCCTCTCTCTTGCCTGGCCCACTTCTGCCATCGTGACCACTTTGCTTTTCTTTGAATATGTCAAGAATATTCTTGCTTCAAAATTTTTATACTTGCTACTTCCCCACCAGAAATGCTCTTTCACTGAAAGATGCTCAGTCAAGCTTTTGGGTCTCTCCTCCACTGTCAGTGTTTCAAAGAGCTTTTCCATGACTGTCTTAAAAAACAGCAATACCCTACCCATGCCCATTAGTACTGTTTCCTTTACCTTTCTTTATTCCTCTCTATAACTTTTATCATCGTCTGACATAAGATCTGTTTCTTGGCTGCATTTTTGAGGTCTTACCTCAAAAAATCTTTGTTCACACCAATGTCCCGAAGTGTTTCCAGCATATTTTCTTTTAGTAGTTTCGTAGTTTAAGGTCTTATATTTACATCTTTAAATCAATTTGATTTGATTTTTGTATATGGTGAGAGATGGAGGTCTAGGTTCATTCTGCTGCATGTGGATACTCAGTTTTTCCAGCACCATTTATTGACGAGACCAAAAGACATACAAATGGCCAACAGGTGTATGAAAAAATACTCAGCATCACTAACCAGGAGGGAAATGCAAATCAAAACCACAATAAGATGTAATCTCACTCCAGTTACAATGGCTATCATAAAAAAGACAAAAAGGTAATAATTGCTGGCAAGGATGCAGAGAAGGATGCAGAGAAAGGGGAACTCACCTATACTATTGGGGGAATGTAAACTAGTGAAGCCACTATGAAAAACGGAATGGAGTTTCCTCAAAAAACTAAAAATAGGACTTCCATATGATCAGCAATCCCACTGCTGGACATATATGCAAAAGAAAGAAAAGCAGTATGAGATATGCTTGAGGGGATATTTGTACTCCTATTTTTATCACAGCATAATCACAATAGCAAAGATATGGAATCAACCTAAATGTCCAACAATGCATGAATGAATAAAGAAAATGTGGTATATATACACAAAAGGGTATTATTCAGCCATACACAAGAATGAAATCCTGTCATTTGCAGCAAAATGGATGTCTGGAGAACAAAAGTGAAACAAGCCAGGCACAGAAAGACAAATATCACATGTACTCTCTCACATGTGGGAGCTAGAAAGAGTTGGTCTCAAACAGACGGAGAATGGAATGGTTGCTGGGGGCTAGAAACGGTATGGGACAGGATGGGATGAAGAGAGCTTGGTAATGAGCACAGAAAAATGGTCGGGGGACTGTAGTTAACAATAATTTGTTCTATATTTCAAAAAAGCCATAAGAGAAGATTTGGAATTTCCCTAAAACAAAGAAATGATAAGCGTTTGAGGTGATGGATGTCCCAATTACTCTAATTTGATTATTACACATTGTATGCATGTGTCAAAATATCACATGCACCCCCCAAATACTTACAAATACTATGTATCAATTGAAAAGAGAAGTGAAATATGGGAAAAAAGCAAGGCTTAGTAAATTAACCTCCAGAAAGACAGATGGTAAATAAGTGGTGGAACTGTGAGTCACACTCAAAACCTATTTTATCTCCCGGAAAACCATAAGGTTTATAAACTCCAAAAGGAAGATCAACTCTGAGAGCCAGGGGTCATTCACACTTCTGTTATCAAAGGGGGGAAATTAGAAATCCTTCTTACTAACACTACAAAGAGAAAAGAAGACATGGACAATGCCCCATAATTCTTAAGGTTCATGTATAACTGTATGTAGGATTTTGCCTTTTAAAAAGTACTTGTATTTTAAGTATTGTGCTCAACTAGTTTGCTTTTGGTGAGTACATCACTGGATACTTTAATATAAGAATTCGAATTGTAAGGAGAAGAATAATTGAATGAAAAACATGTTACTTCATGCATTCCTATTAAGCTGATCTACAGTGAGTCTGGTTGTTTAGAAAGGCAGGCCACAATCCAGATTTCAGTATGCAGTTGGGAGTAGTTGGGAGTAGCTTAATCTAAGCTTTATTATGAGTCAATAGTTTCTTAAAAACCCAAACTTAGCAAAGAATGGCACGTGTCATAATGACTTACTTGGATTTTTTTTAACCCTAAAAAAGTTTCACTTTTGCTTTACAGACCTATTCAAAACAAAGGATCAATTATTTTAGTAGAAGATTAGCACTCTCAGAAAAGTTACTTCTCCTCAAACAAATTCTAGTTTGTGAATTACGGCATTTCATTGAGTTTCTTTTAGCCTTCGGAATCTATTCTGTTGGGAGTTTGTTGGTTAGTACATAATGTCAGTGAGGACAATGTCATAGATTTTAAATTTCTCTAGACTAATGAAATTCAGTCTCATCAACAGAGGCTTTGCATTTCTGCATTATTTAGGCTACAAACAAACCTGCCGCAACAGCTATTTGTTGACTTTGAATATAAGTTTATTTTTCTTTGATAGATAGTTCAGAAGTGAGTGGTTCAAGGCCAGTACAGAGGATCTTTGAACCTTACCATGTGGCTTTTGGGTTTTCTTCAGTCATTGCAATTCCCTCACCAGTGGGAAGTAAGGAAGTCGGAGTAAGCAGAAGTTGCACATATCACCACTTACATCCTATTGGCTTAACTTTTCCATATATCCACTCTAAGCTGCAAGCAAGGTTGGAAAATGTGATGTCTAGCTTGGGCATCCATTTCCCAGCTAAAACTCAAGGAGGTCTACTATAGGAAAGAAATACGAGAAAACAAACATTGGGGTATAATTCACAGTTTTTGGCACAACTTGTATTCAGAAAGCCATGCCACAAAAACCATAGCATTAGTGCCATCATTGATGAATTGATGGCAATTAATAAATGGATTGAAACAGTATTGTCATTGGAGAGAAATTTCAAAGCTTATCCGTATTCCAGTTCTGTAGTTTTAGCCTTATAAATGAAATACCATATGTTAGTGCAATTCTAAAATTATAAAGATTCCAGTGCCCCATTCCTCTAGCCATGTTAGCACTCCCCTTAAACAAGTCTTTAAACTTTTTTGTATACACTACCGATCTATTTATGTATTTATTTATTTTAGATTCAAGGGGTATATGTGCTTGTTTATTAAATGGGTATTACATAAGTAATAGTGGGGTTTAAGCTTCTAGCGTACCCGTCATCCAAATATTGGACATTGTAGCCATACACTACACATTTAAATATTAGCATTTCAATGGCTCATAAGAAGGAATATAGCACTCATAACAACACTGAACAAGTCAGCAATAATGGTGATGAAATCACTATTAAGAGTTGCCGTGTCTTCCAGTGAATATAAAAGCTGCACAATAATGACAATTCCTGGGTTGGCCCTTCAGCACTGTGTTATATTGAATCTAATTATTCCCTTCCTGAGCTGTTCTTCCTTATGTGTTTCATTATACCCTAGAGCTTATTTTGGCCTTGACTTGACATTTTGCTATGTCTCTTTACTCATAGTGAGCCTAATTCTACTGCTTGCAATATGCAGTGGAGTCAACACTTCACTTGATAGAATGCTACTGAAACAATAGGTAAGCTCAATTAAAGCAAAAATAAACGTTACATGTTGAATGAAATTTAATGGCAAGCCTGTAAAGTGTTCATGGCACTCAGAGAGTATGTCTGCATGATGTAAAAATGCCCAAGCTGCTCAGACCACTCTGAATGGCCAGCATGGAAAGGGTTTTTCGGTGGTGTTCCCTTAAATACTAGCATTCTTTTGGAAGAACAAAGATTTGCAACATTAACAAGTTGAATGTCTTGCTCTATAAGGTGACTTAGTGTGGAAGCGTAAAAGGTCATACAGAAAAACAAGCATTTTATGGAGTGGACCTTTAAAGGTTAGTACTTTGCATATTTGGATTAAAAATACTGTTAGTCTTTTAATCGCTCCCAAAAGGAAGAGATTTGGGGGTCTAATATAATCAGTGCATGTTAAAACAGAAGAAAGAAAAGCACCAAGGACCCAAGCAAAGGGAAGTCCTTTTGCACAGATCCCACTAAAAATTGGGAGATTGCTTTTATAAAGTGATTTCATAAACTTTCCATGTTAATTAGAAAACTAATTCAGGATGTATAATAGTGAGAAAGTTGATTTTTTCATCATTCTTTGGGAAATTGATAGTCTTTGTTGACTTGAAAACTATCAGAAGTTCTTGACTCTGGCAATAACTGCCTGACATTGGACAAGGCACAGATATACAAACGGCTTTCCTTTCTCATTTAGAAACTGTTGTAAATGTCAAAAGAGCTGATGTACTTGAAAGTGCTTCACAAACTGTTAGGCGTATGTAAGTATGAGCTAGCTGTAATGAAAATGAAGTTCCTACTGAAATATATTCTACATGAACATTGCATTCAGCTAAGTGCATCATACACAAATATACAGTAGGTAAAATTTGTCTTCAATCTCACATCCTTTTTTAATATTATATTTTTCCTCTTTTCTGTGATCATTTCCCTTTAAGTATATGTCTAATGTCCCATTCTTGCTAACTTTCTAACTTGAGGATGGGAACATTTGGTGTCTGTGGCTTACTTTTCCCTTGAAACCCCTCAGATGAGATGAGAGGTACTTACAAGACACGTGTCACAAACTCATAGGTGTATCTAGTGCAAAGTAGAAATAAAGGATAGTGAGATAATTTACAATTCTCACAAACAATATTAACTGACCATCACTGTAATACAGGCATCATTGCTTTACATTTGTGTGTACATATAAATATAAACATATGTAACTATACTTATAACTTTGAAAAGCATGAAACAATTTGGCTTCTCAAATTAATTTTCAAATCTGAAGCACACATCAGCTAGAGGCGTGGCAGAGACAAACAGGAATGAATGAAAAATATGTTATTAATTATAAAAACTTATAATCTTCATCAAGTTTGTTACATGATTATGGAATTTTAACTCTGCATTCAATAATAGTGTTCTTGGATATAAAATTTTTATTCAGAATATATATCACTTAATTAAACAAATGTTGTTCACCTGACTAGCATAGAAAACACTTGACAAGATATGATAGGAAATAAAATGTAAATAAAACTTGTATATCGACCATGAGATGTTCAGAGTCCACTGAGAGAAAAAAGCATATAAAAATCCACTATGAAAGATAGGCTCTAATTCAAAGAAAGGAATAAATAATGTGGTGTGAGAGGAAAAGAGTAATTTGAATGTCAAATTAATTTATAAAATAATTGATGAAAACTGTAAGTCATGAGTAGAACTAGGTCCTAAAAAGTGAACCTCCACTAATATCAAGAAACCAACACTTCACTAGATTTTATATATGTGTGTGTGTGTATATATATATTTATATATAATATAATTATATAATATAATATAATGTATATATTTCTTAAGGCACTGCAGTTACTACAAAGAAGGCATTATGAACTGATTCCAGCTCTAAAGTAATTTAGAAGCTTCTTGGTGAAGTAATATAAACAAATAAAATATTTAAATCACATTTCAAGACCGTGAAGTTCCACAAGCAGATTATTGATTGCTGAATATATCCTTCAGACACTAACTAAGGAAATGCTCACCTCAGCTGGGGACAGAAACGATGTATGGGAGAGGTACAATTAAAGTTGGTACTGAACTTTGGGAGGGCTTTGCATAGTTAATCAGGAGGCAGGAGGTCATGGGCAGAAGGAAGCATGAGGAAAAACAAACAGGTGTGTAAATGCTAGGCCAGAAGTCCCCTCCTCTGTGAAGGCTTCCACAAGCCATTCTCACTTCTGGTCCATCTATGTCTTTTGCACATTCACATTTTGTTGTATGTATCACGTTGCAATGTAATTACTGATTAGACAGTTGTTTCCCCCTACTGCACTGAGTGTTCCCTGAAAACAGGAATTCTGATCTACCTTTGTATTTCTGGTCCCTGGCACACTGAAGACACATTTAATAACTTAACCTTGAAATGAGCCAACAGAACTCTGTGGGAAAATAGGAGTAAGTATGGAATAGTAAATTGGAATGGGTTTGAGAAAGACTTTAAAAACAGAAATATAAAAATTTTTGAACTTTTTACTATAGATAATTAATTTTATTTTGTTAAATTGAAAAGTGGCCTTAAAGATTATTCATAAGCATATTCTCCCAAGTATCACCAGCCTTTGATCAAAATGTGTACATTAACAGCTGATTTTTTAGTATATGGTCTCTACCATCACTTCTTCAGGAACTCAAGAACCACCCCTCAAGGCGAGTTAATTGTGGAGGTCCCAGGGAGTAAACTGCATATGCTTAGCAACAAACTTGTTCATATTCTTTTCCTCTAGCCTTTTGTATAGGTTTGCTGCTCACAAAGTACTGGAGAAAAGCAACTCAAGAGCCTAAATTCCACAGATTCCAGCAGGTTCTTGCTTTCCTCTTTCTTATACAAGGGGCATACCTGGTGGTTCATACTCTCTAAGAAATGAGCACTCTCCATCTCTCCTGTTCACCCTAGATTTCTCTCCTTCTACTGTCATTCCACTTCAGGTATCCACTCATGCCTCAAGCATTATCTCTCTTTTTTTTCAGCCAACTCCTGCCCTTAAACAAAATCATCATTATACAGACATATTCCTAGTCAGAGAAATGGGTTGTGGTTCTACAAGTTCCACACACCCATCTTCCAATTGGCTTATTTAAGAGATTCTGCTAAGAAAGATTGATCTGACAGTAGTGTGCAGATGGAGGAAAGAAAAATAAGCATGGAGGCAAGAGGATTCATTTGAAAGTTTGTAATGTAGGAATAAAATGATCATTAAAGTCTAATAGGACTGTGGTTGTCAAGTTCATGTAGGAGAAAAGATGAATGGGAAGAGTGTGTGGAGTGGTGAGTGACTGCAAATATGAGTGAGAAAGAAGTTGAATATACTGTGAGCAAATAATATGGCCGTTCTCAGGAAACAGAGGAGGAAGGAGAGACCGTTATTTTTACATTCAAGTGAATCGGGCTTGGGGTGCTGGTAACATTTCAGATGGACATACCCAGCAGGAAATTAGAAAACATTGGAGAGCATGTAGAACGAGTTGTTTGAGTTGTTTAACAATGTTATAGATTTGTTTTGTTCAGGAACATCTTGGGTATTCTTGGGATACCCGAGAGAGGGTACAAGGAGAGGAGCAGAGGGCAGAATCACCAAAGTTTCACTGTATTTCTAAAAGTAACCACATTTTACTGACTCAATGTCTTCACAATGCTTGATGTTATTCTGTAAGCATGACACAGGATTTTTTTCCCTCCAGGACAAAGGTACCAGTGGATGAGAATAGTACCAGGTAATAAATAATTATACTTGTTACTTAAATTTGCTTGTAAACTAAATATATAATTATACACAGTATTTCCTATTCTATACATATTACAGATAAAGAATAATTCTGTCTCTTTATTTTTTTCTTTGACTAAATACTTCTGATTCTTGAAGATTTGTGTCACAAATACAGCAAATATAAATGTTTCCTGTATCTGCATACATAGAACCATCCCTTGTTCATATTCAAAGTCAGCAAAAGAAAATCATCTCTGAATTCTCAATGTCTAGCAAGGTGTCTGGCACAAATCAAGTGCTCAATAAATATTTATTGACTGTGAATGAATTAGAAAAAAATTGGTGTAATTCTTAAATGAGAAAATTTTTAAAGCATCCAAAAAGCTATAAAGAAAATTTAGCATATGGTGCTATTTAGAAAACATGGTGCAGTTTTTCACTTTGAAAAACATTTAAACATTGTACCTTCAAAATAGATTTTTAAGACTTTTAAAAACCCAAATAGCTTATTTATTTCCAAAAATAAAACTGCAAACATCTGGAAGCAAGATGCAAACTCTTGTCCTTGGAGATTATTTCTCATTTTAAGATTTATCCTCCTGTGTTGCCATGACTACTGACCATGAACTGAAATTGCTGTGTAATACATTCTATCTCCCATAGTGATTATACCTGAAACCAGTGGTAAGTTTCTAATAATCAGAGGAGACAACTTCAAAGGTGGACTTGACAGAATCTTCATACATTATGTTAAAATCTTCTCCAGGGAGTTGGGCTACTGGTTGTTTATTCAAACGTGGCATTAGTATGGACAGGATAATTAAATATGGAGCAGGAAATTCTGCCAAATAGAAATTCTTTTGTCACATTCTAATGTGTCAAGTCATGTCAAAAAGGAGAAAAACAGAGAACACCCAATTCAATGTTAGTTGGATGTGCAAGAGAGTGGTTGTGTATTTGGTAAACAAATGCTCATCCTCTGAGAGCTCCTAAAACAGTAATTTCTAATCTGAGACATATAAATTCTTAGTTGGAGGGAAAGAAATAATGTTTGGTGTTCCAGAAAATAAAATGAACCCACTTAGGCATACTGATACCTATAATACCTAATAATTTACTCTTTCATTAACGCTAGGGTGATTTACATTATTTTTACATAAGATTCCCAAGCTTGTGAATCATGTAGGAGGAAGTTATTTGTGCTTTAATAGCATATGGTCTCACATAACTGCATTCTTCCTGAAGGCAGATAGATGGCTACCTTTAGCTAGTAGATTTCAGGCTGACCAAGAAAAGGGAAAGACAGAGTAAGATATTGTTGAGATCGTTCTCACAACTGCCCTAATCTATGGGCAGGAGTGATGTATTTGTTTTCCACTGGGGCTAAGAACCATGGATTTTCCAAAATCAGATGTATCTTTTGCTTCCAGAAATGTTGCATTCTCATCTCAATATTTTAATCTAAAAGTAAGCACTAGGAGTATTATTCTAATTGTGCTTCTGCACTGAGTTAGATGATGGGTGCACTATCATGAACAGGAGGGAATAAGCCACTGCCCTCATGCTGATGGTGCTTCCACAGCAGGAGTGGATGAGATAAATCTCAAAAGGAAAGAGAAAGAGACAAGGAAGGAAGGAAAGAAGGAAGGAAGAGAGTGAGGGAGGGAGGAATGTAGAGAGGGAGGGAGGGAGGAAGGAAAGAAGGAAGGAAGGAAGGAAGGAGAAAGAGACAAGGAAGGAAAGAAGGAAGGAAGGGAGGGAGGGAGGAAGGAGGAGAGAGAGGGAGGAAGGAAGGAAGGGAGGAAGGGTGGATGAGAAAACAAGTTGATAAGTGTCATGAAGGAAAGAAGACAGGATGCTGAGGTACAGAATGATGAGTGGCAGTGGAAGGTGGGAGAGACAGCTACTGTAGATAAGGAGGTCAGGTAAAGTCCACGTGAAGAAGTGACATTTCAGAGGGATCCAAAGGGTTTATATGCTATAGGCAGACTGTTGGAAGTGAAAGAATGAGAAGTGTGGAGTTTAAATCCTGCATCTTTTATTTAACCTCTTATTAATTCAGTGAATATTACATTGGGTATCTGCTACCTGTAAGTCACTGTGTTGTGTGCAGGAAGGTCCCTCATAGGACAAAACAGACATGGCTCCTCATTTATGGCACTTACAGTGTCATAGGGAAGAGAGCTGTTAACCAAGGAGTTTCCACTGTGATGTATATAGCACTGTAAACTTGACTACATCATTGTAGAATAAAGTGAATCACAGGAAGTGTGGAACACAAGATTCCAGAGAGGTGAAACTGATGTTTTGTCAGCCTCAGGACATGTAAGCTTCTCCGGGTCCCAGGAGATGTGAAAAGAGAGCACAGCAAGGAGAGGGGAGATTTACAACCATGCTGGACCTTGAAAAGGGCTTTTTGTGCATAGACTAGAGTTCTATTTAAGGAACCTAAAACAAAGGAGGAGCAGAGCTCTCTTTTCCTTTTCTCACTTGCTCCCCAAATCTCTACTCCCTGCACCTTACATTTGGGGTGTGTGTGTGTGTGTGTGTGTACGTGCACACATGCGAGCATGTGCACAGAAGCACCATACACACATCCTGGGAAGAAAAGCTTTTGGTTCACTCCTTTTGCAAACAACTATGAAGAGCACTGCACCTTGTCACCACTCCAGCTACATATAAAAGTGAAAATCTAAAGAAAGGGAGCACAAGATACCCTACATGCACTCTCAACCTAACTGATTGACTTGCTCATCAGAATGAAAGCACTATTCCCAAAGCTGGAGTTAAATAAAATGTCCTTGTCCTTGACTTTGATCTTTCCTTATGGAGTGAGTAGAAACGCATATGCTCTCCTGGCCAAAGACAGCGATGATTGAACCTCTTTACTCAAATTATGACCTAAAGCAACACATACTGTCTTTCCTCTGTGTATTGTGCTCTCCTGAGCACTGCATCATCCCTGTGGTGTTGTAGGCCTCCACACTCACATGTCTCTGTCTTAGAAAAATAGCCTCTGAGGATCTCTGCTCAATGAGAAAATAAGAGAACTGGGATCTAAAAAATATTGCCACAGTTATATTGATTTTTTTATCATTGATTGATAAGAAATATTTTTGTTAAATTGAAATAGCTAATTCATAGGTTTCTATAAGTGATATATAATATCTCCCAGTCAGTTTGAGTCAATATTTTATGATAAAATTAGAATCCTTATTTAGTTTGCAAGACCTAGGACATTATGGTCTGTAAGTCAAAACAGTGGTCTGTCTTCCTCAGGAAAAGTACAAACTAATAAGTTTAGTGATAATTAAAAATTTGCTTGAGCAAGACTTTTTGTTAATTTGAGTGCAGAAGCAGTCTATTACTAATATAGACTGTAGAAGAATAAAGGTATCATAAAATATGGCTTCCCTACCACTGTTCTCCATGTTGTCTCTGAATGGAAAGGTATTTGGTGATATATAGATGACAAAACCGATCATATAACAATAAACCACAGCAAAGCTCTTGCATGTTAAAAACTAATAAATACAAGTAGATAAGACACTGTCAGTTTATGTAGTTCATCATACTCAAGAATGCATTATTTTCACAAGAGCAGAAATTGAATCCTAGAAATGTAACCATCAGAGGATAGTTTCATTCTAAGAAGAATCATCAACCTTCTTCTAGGCTTCTAAGCTAAAGGAGGAATAAAAATGGTTTGGAGAATCCCATGTGACTTTCATCATATGATTGCTTTACTATCATATTTATTTCCTAATTACTGTGCATTGGTTAATGTTTGTTTCAAAATAAAGAGGTGGTATTGAGTTGAAATAGCCATTCCTACATAAACAAGCCCTTGGATGTAGAGAATTAAAAATTAAGTTCATAGTTCATAAGCAAATAATTGAAAGATGAGCATGCAGTTGCAGGCCATATAAAACCCTATTAAAATATGAAATACTAAGGCTTGAGAATTATTTTTAAAGAGTTTCTCCATGTATAAAATAACTTATGTCAAGAATATTCTAATTCTGAATTTTAAATGTAATGCATAAATGTACATGTAAATATAAATGAAACTTCAAAAAGAATAATTATTACAACTTTAGGAAAAAGTAAAAAAAGTTACTATGATAAATTGACAGCAGAGATTATAAAAAACCTGAGTCAAGTTATTCATCGACTGGAAGGATCATAGGTAAAGCTATCAAAAGTCATTGCCAATTTCTGAATACTGTTGTTACTATTTTATTTTTATGAAGATTTATTCCTATATTTGAATAAGGGTACGTAACATTTTGGAATAGCGATCCTTTAAATATGACATTAACATTATAAAATCCAAATGGTATATTTACATTTTTTTCTACTAGATTCCTAATCTCCCTTTCCACTGGGAAGAGACTGCATTACTATTAAATTGGTGAAAAATTCTGGCTTAAAACAAAACTAACCTTTATATCTAAACCTCTTTTTTCATACTTTTCTTAAAACGTTAAGTTGACTTAAAAGTCATGCTCTTGTAGCTCATACTAAGCTGTTAAAAATCTTACCTTTATCAATAAAAAATGAATTAAACAGAATAGATAAGAATACTGCAACCTATGGTAACTTGAGTTAACTCTATTAAAATGTATCTTATCAAATATTAAAAAGGTAAATACAAGTACAAAGTTAGTAGCTGGTCAAATATAGGAACAGCTTAAATGCTTAAAGAAAATACCTTAGAATGGTAAAGAGGAAGAATTTGAGCCTTTGACCTGTCAACCATTGCAACAAAGAAAGGAAACTCAGTTTAGAAATGTAATAAATAGAAACTGAGTGATAGCCATTAGATACTAAATAGCCAGCATACATTTCTAAACAAAGATTGGTAGTCCCAATACCTCTTGGTACAAGTAGCACAGCATGACAAGATGCGGTAGCTTACACCTGTAATTCCAACACTTTGGGAGGTCAAAACGGGTGGATTGTTTGAGTTCAGGAGTTCGAAAGCAGCCTGGGCAACATGGCGAA